TAGACACTCCACTCATCTGTTCTAGAGACTCGCACTCAGCTGTTTTTTCTAAACATAAAATAAATTTCTAAAGAATTTCGTAAGATGGAACATTATAAATTTTGCTGAAGGCTTCCTTAGTCAATCCGAACTTTTCATGATGCTTACAAACACAAACATTGCCTGGAAGTTTGCTACTAAGCAAGACATGCTTTGGACGGAGCTCAAAGAATTTAGTTTTTCCAATTTTGCATTCTGGATTTTCTTCCATAAACATTTGGTGCATTTCTCGAACTGAATGATGAAGATGCCGTGCTTGTACTTTCTTTTTGCTACCATTAGCATCTCTGATTATAACTACATCCTTAACTCCCGGTGCCTGTCGAAAGATTTCGTTCAACTTTGAAAACATATGAATGTCAACACCCAAATTAATAACTTAAAGCAAAGAGTTTCATTAAAATGAATATCTTAAGGCAGTGATAATTTATTTAAACTTTGGTATAGTAACTGGATACATCTTATTTAGTTTTTATGTCAATTTTCAAGAGGAATAAACTCATTTCACATTGGAAACTTCTATTGCATGCATGTCAGTAACTTTTACATATATTGAATGGGGCACAAAACAATAAATAAGTAATATTTGAAAAGAAAACTACTGCTGCTTATTTAGTGTTAGCCTCAAAGGAAGAAAAAATATTATTCTTACTTTTGTATCACTTGTTCTTTTTTACACACAAAAACTTTTTCTAGTTTTTGGTAACTTACGTTACATGCATTAATGTTTAGTTGAAATTTATATGATTAAGTGAATTTAGCAACAAAAACTTATTTTAACACTGCACAATATTTCTATTAAGTGTAATAAACAATATTTATTCTTTGGAACATTTTGAAATTAAAATAATGTTAACTTACTGATTTTCAAAAACTGACCATGTTCTTCACCCAAATCAGAACAAATAAACGCCAATGTTCAATGGGTTACCATCACTAAAAAACTGAATTCTCAAAAAAAAAAATAATTATAAATTATCAAACTTCAAACCTTTCTAATTCAGAAAACATCCAAAATGATAACATTATTCTTATTTGAATTTTCCAATGCTTTTCCCCTTTTTCATGGAATTGCCCTACACGATATTTCATATATTTTTTAAATGAAAACCTATATCTTATTTGGCATCATTGGAGAGAGTTTTTGAAAAGAAATAACTTTTACTTAAAATATTTTTTAATATCTCCTACTATTTTCAAGATAATAGATAAGAAAAAATACATATTAAATAGATTTTGACATATTCACTAAAAAAAAATTTTTTTCGTCATAATGTCTTATACCTTCATTAAAACACATTTGTGCTTTTCTTCCCATGTTTTATAAAAATTGAAGCGATTTTGATAATTTAAGTGAATTATTTTTGATAAAAATTATAAATTGAAGTGAATAATCAGAACTTTTTTCGTATCTATTATCTTGAGAACAGTAGGAGATGTAAAAAAATTTCAAGTGAAAGTTACTTTTTTTCGAAAACCCTCTCCAATGATGCCAAATAAGATATAGGTTTTCATTTAAAAAATCAAAACTGTGTTCAAATTCCGGTACTTCCGGGAATTGAAAAGATCACTATTGAATTCCTTGGGGTCGATTTAGTCATTAGATTTTTTATTTCAAATTGATTATTTTCATTCTCGAAAAAAATGGGTGGCACGCATGATCTGAATCACTCTGTATATTAAAACAATATTATTACTACATATATCATATATATGTTATTAAATATAATTATTATTTGCGCAATATTATTTGAAATTCATGCAATATATAAAAAGAAATTTTGCGCTTCTGGCTCGGTCCAACCGGCCCTCAGGCCAGACCGGGCCTGCCCACCATGGAGGGGATCACCTCATCAAGAGGCTCTACCCTTTGAGCAACCGCGGCTCTAGATGAACACATTGAGGAATGCAAAAAAATCTTGCAAATGTAAAAATAAAATTCATGGGTTTACTAGACCCTTTAGCCAAAAGGTTCAAGCCAAATTCTTTAAATCCTGATACTGTCTCTAACTGAGTACTACCCAGTTGAAGTAGAATATCAATAATGTTGACCTACGTGGAAAAAAAATGGTATTTATTTTATTTTAAATCCAAATTCTTCCTTCATACAGGCTGACCATTGAGGGTAATTTTAAACTACATCAAAAGATGTGGTAAGTAACTCATTGAGTCAAGTGATAGGACAAACATGTCTTCACGATCATTTTTTTTTCGTGTACTAAGTTGCAATTGCGTGAGGAAGAATTATGGAAATTTTACAGAGTTATCAATCGATATTGACGAAATGCTAAACTTATCTTTCTCATGTTGAAGGTATTTTATTTTAATACTTAAAAAAGAGAAAAACTTGGGATCAGTGATTCCACTTACACGCTATAGCGCATTTAGTAAACCGAAAAGAGGATAGGGGAGAGGAGAAATAATATCTCCAGGAAGACGTATTTTCCACCACCGCGAAAAGACCAACAACCCCGACGTGTCGGAGCAAATTAGAAAAGAAAAAATAATGCACTAACATCAGAAGGATGAAATAATTCCGTTGCATCTAATTAAGAGTCTTGATTCTTTCTTGTTTTGTCTATCTATAAATAAAATGCAGTCCCGCAGTGGACTGATCGTTAAGACACGGTTCCCAGCAGATCACCGAAGTCAAGCATCACTGGCTGCGGTCAGTGTGCGGGTGGGTGACCACTTGGTTCAGTCTGCGTAGGGACCGAGGGTGTGCGGTATTGGTCCTCGTTAAACTGTTCTATCGTAAAGTGCTCGACTTCGCGTGCAGGTCGTCGGGCTACCGAAGCGGGGGTGCCATCCCCTCTGCAGAGGATCAAAATTGTGATGGCATGTCTTCGGATCATCCTCAGGGCTGTCTCCCAGACCGTCGTCAATAACCCATTGTGCAGCTCTAGTGCGACGTAAATGAACAACAACAACAACAACAAAATAAAATGCACATATTAATTAAATGCATTAAGAAGAACTGAACTATATAAGAAGTATGCTCGTTTGCCACCCATTCATCCAGATCTGGATCGATGTGGTGGAAATTCAAATGAAGTATTTTAGATGGCAGGTGAACTATGACTATATAGTAATATTCAATGTGGTAATAAAACCATAAAATAATAAATAATATAAAATTAGAGCTCTACTTGAATTAAAAGCTCAAATTGAACGAAAATACGATATTTGATGAAGATGACATACTTAGAATATGACACGTCACTGTAGGTAATACAATGCTGCAATGGGACTAATGTTTCTCTCCTCGATTAGGACTTCATTCCGCAGTGGACTGTTAGCAAGGACACAGTTCCCAGTAGAACATCGAAGTCAAGTACCACTTTGATAAGACTGCGTAGGCACCGAGGGCGCGTGGTATCGATCCTCGTTAAACTGTTGTACTTCGTAAGGTGCTCAACTTTGCGTACAGGTCGTCGGGCTACCAAAGCGGAAAAGCCACTCCCTTTTCAGAGGCATGCATTCCCAGGGATGTTTTCTTAAGTTCATTGTAAATAAAGTACCCATTAGGTTTTCAAATGAGAGGATCTCGTTAACTGCAGAGAAAGATGTGGCTTTTTCGCAAAATTTTATGTTCAGTTTGGCTATGCCTTTATCCATCATGTCTATTTTGAGGGTATGGTGTAAAATTAAGGAGCAGAGAATTTATCGTCTGTTCAATATTACAAATCATTTGTACCTTTTTTTCTTTAAAACTTGTAGACTTCCTCTCCTCTTTCTAAAAGTTCTAATTTTTAAAATATCGTTTAAAATGCAAATTTAATTGATTTTGCATATAATTTTGTGCTTTATGAAGGTTAAAAGGTTTTAAACTCCAATTTTAACAACAATAAAGACATTTAAAAAGTTTAAATATAAAATATTTACTCCTCGTGCGTATCTTTCAAACTTGTATCTATACTGTTATTTATCGGAATCCGCTTTCTGGTATAAAAGGGCCCAGAAATTGGGGACCCGTAGCTTGTAAAATCTAGCGGAATCACTATAGTAACTATGCATGGTGTTCCGTAATGACCGCTTTTAATATATATTTTCAGAATCCTCATTCAAAATTAAGTTTAAAAAAAAGTAAACACGTTGGGGGTCGTTAATGGATATAATTGAAACTCCATCGAAAATTAATGGTTCACTACTAAGGAAGGCATGACTGAGAATATCAAAGTATATTTCATATCCTGATGAAACTTGAAAACATTTAATTTTTAAACAACACTTTTAATTCTTTTCTTACATTAATAGCAATCCCGTGAGTCACGGTGGCTTAGGAGATAAAGCACTCACCTCTCAATGAGGTAACCCAGGTTTGAATCCCAACGATGGTAGGCCACTACGAATTCTGTTCCCGTCTCACGCCGACCACAATGCTGTCTTAAAAATTATCCTCTGTGGTCAAGGGTTAGAATCCCTTTGCTGTCAGGCTGAGGAGTGATTGTTCTCTCCATGTTACACAATGTTTGATCCGGGAGTTCTCCTGTCTTCTGGGTAGAATTTAAATGAATGTGGGTAGAGATAAACCAAAAAATGGTTGTTCCGTAGATCAACAAATTAAATAAAAGATAAAAGCTTTCATGAAATTAAACTGGATTCGTGTATGAGTTATAGTACTTACGCCGTTGCTTTCTGTGTCGAGGCAAAATCTTCTTTTGCTTCCATTAAAAGTTTTCTTCTGATTTTATCAAACCTCTAGAAAAAGGGGAGAGAAATTATGAACGACAGATAACAGAATGTTCTTCATTTCGCCAAATAAGGGAGTTGAAAAGAAACATTTTTAAGCCAGCGATTATAGGTCTGTATATTTATTATGATTCATAAATAACTACTTTTTTTTTTAATGAAAGACAATCTGCTGCACCGATTTTCATTTTTATAATGAATAATTTTAGTTTTATTACACTTTTAATTTCTTACGTTCAAGCCGTTGAATTTTTTAAATTTTTGTTAATGTGCCTTCTTTTTTTAACAAAATGTTTTTCGACTTTCATTTTAAATGCAAAAATTTTCAAATTTCAATAAAACCTGATGTTTGTAATCATTTTGAAATAGAGAAGAATTGTGCGGAACATGCTTTTTTCGTAAAAACAGAATTCCTTAGTTTCTGAAAAGAATATGCCCTCAAAATTTAGCCATTTTAACATTGGAATCAGTACACTTCCTTTATCTTACAAATACACTCACACAAACATACTCATCGTATTACACCTTGTACACAATTTCTGTTAAAATTTATCGAGAGACACTAAATTCAATAATCCAAATTCATTCATCAAAAGATTGTGCATGAAAGGGAAACATTAATAACAGAAATAATATACTGAGTAACCAAACACATCAAATTTCAGGCATCGGATAAAATATCTGAAAATATACTTGAGAAATATTTTCTAAAGATGCATTCAATGATGCTCCTCAAACCATCCTTTGTGAGGGAGCAACTTTAAAATTTTTGTTGGGGATCCTCTGGTTTGTAAATCTAGATTCTTCAGGAAAAAAAACCCTAAAACGCTTAGCTTACCTGGGCAGCGTTAAGTTTCTCAGCTGCGATTCTGAAACGAGCTGCTTTTTCTAATTGCTTTTCAGATACAAATTCAATCTGCAAAATAAACAATATGATGGGTAAAAAAAAAAAAAATAGATTCGCAGTTCTTTAAAAAAAATGAAGCAAATAGTATTTGTTTCTCTCAATTACTTTTAAGCACACTTTTATTATTATTGAATAAATTAACAAAACTTGATTTTTCTTTTGGTTTGTGACTTGCCGAAACCATGGTAACGAAGAGGGGGGAAATCTCAACTATTCTATTAACAAAGAGAACGAAGCCGGAATAGCCTGGTTGGCAGGGCGTAGGGCCCATATCCTAGTGGTCGTGAGTTCGATCCCCGTCGACCGGAGACTTCCCGTGTAGCAAATGCTGACTGGTGCGCGTTAAATCTATCGAGTAACAAAGTCCTCCATGTTCCCATGACAAATCATACTTCTGGGTGCACAGAATTGGAGATAGATCGTTCTCTGGTTCACGTCAAAGCTACGATTGTGGAAGAAAGAATGGATGTTTGAATGGGTACACCTTATAAACGGGTTGTGACGTGTGTGTGGCAAAAGTCATATTCTTGGCCACAGATGGCGCTACATAAAAGGAAGAAACACACCCTCTCCCGTAAATACGTATTGTTTCACTAATCAGGTTGCTGGATCGGCATATAGCATCAACAACAACAAAGAGTAAAACTAGAGTTATCTAACACTTAGAGTTACGACAATAGCCTGAAAATTGTCAAAAACAGATTGGTTGCGAAAGAGAAAAAAATATCATCAGAGAAAAACATCTTTTAAAATATCAACAATATTACAGATAATAGTCGTTGAGCCGGGATAGCCTAGTTGGTAGCGCACTGGGCCCATGTCTAAAAGGTCATGGGTTCAATCCACACCGGCCGAAGATACCCCGGGTAGTAAATGGTGACTGATGCACGTTAAATCTGTCGAATCACAAAGTTCTCCATGTTCCCGTAACAAATCATACCTCTGGCGGTACTGATCTAGGAGTTTCCTTGTCTTCTGGATTGGGTTCACAATTACAAGGCTACGGATTTGAACGTTAGTAGTCGTGAACCCAAAATTGGGTGGGCTGTTCAACGACGGTAATAAAATTAAAATAAAAAAGATAATGGTCGTTGATGTTACAAGAGTTCAGCTCAAGACGATATATCTTTTACATAACCGGTATCTTCGTTTATATTTATATTGCGTGGTTATTAAAATGTATATTGATTACTTGATAAATATATTATTCCACACATATGCATACTTATGCACTTCATTGAAATTGATCGGTCGAGATAGTCTGGTTGATAAGACGTTGGGCCCATGACCAAGAGGCCGTGAGTTCGATCCCCACCGACCGAGGACCTCCCGTGTAGTAAATGGTGATTGGTGCACCTTAAATCTGTCGGGTCACAAAATCCTCCATGTTTCTATAACAAGTCAATACCTCTGGGGGTACTGCATTGGAGATTGATCGTTCTCTGGTTCAGGTCAAAATCAGGATCTGTGGAATTTTCTTAGGATCTGTTGAATGGGTGTATGAATGGGTTCGCCGTATAAACGGGCAGTGACGTGTGTATGGCTGAAGTTGTAGTTTTGGACATAGATGGCGACACAGAAAAAAACAAGCCTCTCTATGAAACCCTCTAAATTCGTTTGATTTCACCAAGCAAGCTTGCTAGTAGTATATGCAAGTGGCATTAGAAACATCTGAAATTAAATCAATTGTGGAATGAAATAATTAAAAACAAACATTGAAAAAAGCAAACCACATTCAATTAAAAACATGCTTTTATAAGACTCGACAAATCACCTTACTAAATTAAGTATAAAACAGCAGACGACCTTAAAAGAAGTATTCTACAATTAAAAAAAGAAAACGATATCAAATCGAAACAACAAAAAATCAAGAATGAAATTTACGCCAGGCTTGCGTAAGTCAAATTACTTGTAAGTTTACCAAATTTAGGCATCAATCGCTCAATTTTAAGAAAAAAAATTAGTGTCGGCAAATTACTTTTTTAAAAATAATTAATTTTAATTTTTCTGAAGATATATAAAAACAATTAATAAAAACATTTAAAACTTTAGATTTCACTAAAGAAAAATTTGTAGCTTAATATGGTATAAAGAAAATGTTGGTTCATTTTTAAAAAAAATATCTTCCAATATTAATTTAATGAATAATAAATAATTATTAAAGTTGCATTTTTTGCATGAAATTACCTTTGGGTAAACAAGATTCATAAACGGATGCTATTTTTTCAAATTGTGCAATCAGTTTTGAAGACATGACCAAAAACGCAAAAAGTTAAGTTAACATTAAGGGTCCAAACTTTAAACCGTTCTCCTGACTAAATTATTCGGGCCACAATTTTCAGATTGATCCCAATTTTGAGGATCAGAAATCCAAGTATGTGAGGAAAATGTTTATTTAGAGAAAGTGCGTTTTTATGTCTGATTTCGTAGCTTAATTAATAGTTAGCACTAACTAATCAACATATTTGAAGTCATTAAGATTAATACTTAAAATCTGAAAATGCGATCATTGGAACAAAAGTTATTCAATTATATATTTTATATTATTTCGCTCACTGTACATACCCTGAATAATTTTTTATTCAGTCGTAAATGCTCATAATTAATAATGTGCTAATTTATTAAAGTGCCGACTCGATTTAGTTGTGTTCCTTTGTCTTTTGAGTTAAGCTCAAAATCATGAGTATACGGAAGCAAACGGTGTTATTGAACTGGTTGTTACGGGGGTGGAATGATCTTTTATTGGAATTATAATAAATACCAAAAATCAAAGAAGTGTTCTGGCTGATTTTGAAACAGAAACATATCACACACAGTACACAGAAATGCACTTTCTTTGACTTTCCACGTGATGATGAGAGATTTTAAGTTGCCTAAAATGTTAATGTGTCTCCTTATTTAAGGACAGATACAAGGTATTCCGTAATTACTATCTCGCAAGCATCTTCATACAGGGTGTTCCGAAATCACAGTGATAACTTGACAATTTCCTTAATTATGGACACATGAAGAATGTTCCGTAATCACAGCTGCATAATAAAATTTGTTTCCAAAATCCTTGTTAAAAATGTCTGAACATTAGGAGTCGCTTATCAAAAGATCCAAAAGCAAGAACTTTAACTAAATATAACGAATAACTGTTGATGAAGGTGGGACTGAAAAAACCTGGAAAACATTATCCCTATGGTATGGATAGAGCCTGTTTGCATCTAAGTGCATGCCAAATGGATGTAAAGCTCACAGCACGAACGAATATCAACATCGCTAACTCTCAAAACGACTTTGCACAGCAGATTTTTTTTTTTTTTTTTTGCTTACTTTCTTCACGTGAAATGAAGAAACCAAAACTTATTGAATAATCAATTCATAAGCATTAAAGTTAATAAAAATGATATCTAAAAATCGTAACAAATATACGCCTTTCTGTGCGCATTTAAAGATACTGATGATAAATATTGTTTCTTGCAGACAATATTCTTCTACAGAGGAACAAAAATAAAAATTCCTTATGTCGCATTTGATTTGTTAAGGGTATGTCCGAATAAGACGTGCTACTTTTATCGGTCCAATCAAATTCAATGCTCTTGCAACGCCATATAGTTTCTTTACACGAACGAATGTTCTCTTTATTTATTCTAAATATGTCGCCAGGTCTAGGATGTTAGGAAATTATAACCATTTGTTAAATTCTTTAATATATATCGAGAAAGATAGCACAAATTAAATTTCTGGCAAACGTGTTTAACTTTTAAAATACTTATATTGTTTTGAAGGCATATTTATATATTTTGCTAATGAAATAAAATGGAACTATGAGCAGTAGCGTATGATAACTTAAATTCTATACCGTAATGGTCTTTTCTTAACTTGTAGCGGACCTGAATGACTGCCTGCTAAAACACAGATCTTGCTCCAAGTTCTAGTACGAAGATTGATTGAAATTGATGGAAACATGTTTTGCTTGGAGCGTGGATCGTATAAGCGATCATCCAAGTTCTTGGTCCATGTCTTTGGATAGTAGAACTTTTAGTAGAGCATGTTCTACTTTTCATCCAAGTTTTTCCTCTTTTAACCTCTAAAGTTTCGTGACGTCACCAAGCAGGCATCAGATTATGTCATTTTGTTGTCTGTTTTCATAAATTTTTCTTCAAATAAATTAATCCGTTAGGATCTATTTGTGTTATTATGATTTTATTTGAATTTGAATTTATTTAGCAATTTCGAATTCATTTAAGTATGATTTTATAATGCTGAATATGAACAATGGGCTGGTTTTTCATCCGACCAATCAGTGACATTCAAGAACTTGGATAGTGTTGACGAATCATCGAATTTCTTGGAGAGCAAAATCCCTCCAAGTTCTCGGATTCAAGAACTTGAACGGTGTAAACAGGTCTTAAGAATAGTCTTTTAATATTGTTTCCTTTGGCAACCAAACTGGGATTGATATTTCCATCCCACCTTCCTCAGCAATGCATATGCAGATTTCGATAGCGCTTTTGGTTTCGCAAAGATTAATTTGCAACCGCAATGTGTATACTTATTTTCTTACTTAATTTTTGACAAATATTCTAATTATATATTAAGGGTGTTCTTACCTTTCTTGATGGGGAACACCCTGTATTATAAAGAGATTAGGCTTCCTCACCTCTTTTTTGCTTGTTGACACTGATGGATCAGAAATAGATCTCCTGATATTTGGAATATTTGGTACGTCAGAGGGGACCGCTGTAGACATATGACGCATTGCTTTACTTTTTACCATAACATCACCAATGTCGCATAACCTGTGAACAAAAGACGGAAATGTGATTAAGATAAAATTCAGTTAACCTTATGGAACAACCAAAAGAAGGGCTGACAAAATCACGGCAATATTTCAAATTCGCAAAAAATTTTGAAAATGCCAATTTAAATAATAACAAAGCAATCACTTGTCTTAAAAACATAAAAACTATTTCGAATGCTTTATCTTCCATTAACTTTTTTTTTATCTTATCTTCTATCTTTCTTTAACTTTTGTTTTATCCTTCTTCATCTATTTTTACGCCAACTATTAAAACTTTATTTACACCAAGGCACCAAATTGATTCTAATCGAGAAAAAAAACTACAAAAAAAATGTATAATAGAAAAAACACGTAGAGGTTTGCCCGGGGTTGGCTATGAGTTATACCCTTCGAGTTGGTCACTTTCTGTGATATTTTTAAATTTCTCGCTGGCAGCTACCCGGAAGTTGCCACGATACGGAAATCTTACCTAAATTTGCAAGTTCAAAACAATTCTATAAAATAATTTTCAAGTCATAGATAAAAAGAATTCTTCTCATGACCTATATTTTTATCTATTAAGAACCAGCATTTATTAACTATAGCTCAGCGACATTAAAGAATATTTTAAATCTCGACGAGACAATCTTTTTTTTTTTTTAAATGAGTGACTTCTTTTTAAGAAAATTTTAAAAAATGCTTCACCAAGTCAATTCTTTAAATGCTTAATTATTTTCCATGTCAATTCAAAGCATCGCATTACTCAAATGAACGATTAGAGTGATTTATACACATTTTAAAAAATTCAATACTAAACATTAAACAAGTGTTTTATGATAAATAGAATATTGTACATACCATAGATAAATTAATCACAATGAGATACCTGCAAGTGACATAGTATGGGTATGTAGATCCCGATGACTCTTTGAAATTTGGCATTTGCTTACGCTAGCAACTGTTCTTTCCATTCTATTTCGAGTAAGCCTAGACCGTCAAGCATCAATTTTCTTAAGTGACATATTCTAAATTATCTCATAAGGACTCTTTCTCAAAGATTTCAATTCTACCACAATATATTTACTTAACACGAAGTCATGTGGAACATAATTAAACTAATTATACATCGAAGTTGCCAGGCACACAACACAAAAATATATCACGATTACAATAAAATACATTAACAAATAATAAATCTAAGTTAAGTGAAAGATGTAGTGGAGAAAGAATTATATTTCAACTAAAGTCGATGTGCGATATGGCTCTGAATTTAATTGGTTTTGAGTTAATTAACATTCTAACTTATGTAGAGAAACTTTGCTCAACTTTAATACGCCATTTTGCTGATGAAGATTAGCTGTCGCATAGGTCACATGTGTAGATATGAGAGGTCTTCTTCTTGAAGTGCAAGTTCCCAATTATTTCACATTTTGCTGTTCAAACGATATAGAATAATATAAAAATAACTATGTATTAATTTTTCTTACACTCTTTGTGAACAATAATATAAAGATAGAAAGATTATATAACAGAACGAACAAGGGAACGTTCAATTTAAATTTTCTATCATTTTTTTCTCAAAAATAATAAAAACTAAAAATTAGACAACTCAAAAGTAGTTTAAAAAGCAAACGGTTTTTGAAAGATTATTTCCTTTCTAACTAGTACGCACAGCTGGAATAACAATAATAATCACAAATCAAAATTATCTGAACAGCACTTAATGTCAAAAACCTATTTATCAAGAAAACGTTTCTTTTATGCTTAATGACTGTTTTTTTAATCATTAATTTCTCTGATGCCCCAAAAAAATATGTTTGCTCAAATAATTAATAGTTATTTTAATTGATATTTCTCTTTCTCAATAAGCAAACTTCAGGATCATTTTTCTGGTTAATGATCGCAAAATAAAGAAGAGTAATAATTATTTCATAAATAATACATTAGTTGTTTTAAGCGTGGTTTATAAATGGGTGCTCTGGCGAAATGATAAGAGAAAGTTTATCCTAAGACTTTAGTTTTCACTGCTCTTATCTATTTCGATCGAAAATGTTGCGTTTTTCATTTTTACTGGTTTTCTATCCTAGTTTGCTAATTTGGACAGCGTATGCCAACTTTTTTTCAAGTATAAAGGAACTTCTTCCTTCAAATGAACAATCGATGTTGAATGGATTATTTAGAGAAAGTTCTAAGAGCATTTCAGAAATGGCACCTGATAACAAACACGAAACTCAGTCAGCTTCGATCACAAAGAAGAGAGGATTGGAAACAGATTTTCCCGAATCGTATTCTTCAAAGTCAAAAGAATCCGATGACGAAAGTCTGTTTAAATATTCGAAGGCATCTGAATTCGACGTAAACATACCATCGTTCGGAGAAATAGTCGGCACAATTTCTGATCTCGTGAAAAAAGGTGCTTCTGCATTATCTGATAACCCAATAACAAACTTCTGGAAAAATGCTTTGGAATCTGGTACAATGCAAGCAATGAATCCTGGATCGATACTTAACTTTCCAGGGCTTTTGCAAAATTATGCTTCTTCTGGGAAGAGTGACATTCTTTCAGCTTTTGAAATAAATGATATGCAGAAAATGGGAGAACAGCTTTTCAAATCAGCTCCTGGAATGAATGACATGCGGAAAGTGGGAGATCAGTTTTTGAAATCAGCTCCTGGGATGAATGACATACAGAAAATGGGAGAAAAAATTTTCAAATCAGCTCCTGGGATGAATGAAATGCAGAAAATTGGAAATCAATTTCTGAAATCAGCTCCTGTAATGAATGACATACAGAAAATGGGAGAACAACTTCTCAAATCAGCTCCTGGGATGAATCAAATTCAGAAAATGGGAGATCAATTTTTGAAATCAGCTCCTGGAATGAATGACATACAGAAAATGGGAGAACAACGTTTCAAATCAGCTCCTGGATTGAATGAAATGCAGAAAATGGGAGATCAATTTTTGAAATCAGCTCCTGGAATGAATCAAATGCCGAAAATGGGTGATCAATTTTTGAAATCTGCTCCTGGAATGAATGAAATGTGGAAAATGAGAGAACAACTTTTCGAATCAGCTCCTGGGATAAATGAAATGCAGAAAATGGGAGTTCAGTCTTTGAAATCAGCTCCTGAAAGAAATGATATGCAGAAAGTTGGAGATCATTTTTTGAAATCATCTCCTGGAATGAATGAAATGCAGAAAATGGGAGATCAATTTTTGAAATCAGCTCCTGGAATGAATGAAATATGGAAAATGAGAGAACAACTTTTCGAATCAGCTCCTGGGATAAATGAAATGCAGAAAATGGGAGATCAGTCTTTGAAATCAGCTCCTGGAGGGAATGATATGCAGAAAATTGGAGATCAATTTTTGAAATCAGCTCCTGGAATGAATGAAATGCAGAAAATGGGAAAACATCGCTTCAAATCAGTTCCTGGGATGAATGATATGCAGGCAATGGCCAAACAACTTTTCAAATCCAGTCAAGCGTTTTCTGAAATGAATGATATGCAGAGAATGGAGGAAAAAATTTTCAAATCCAGCCGTACATCTGCGGGAGTAAATAAAATGCAAACCGTTAGGAATCCACTTTTCAAATCAGCTTTTGGAATTAATGATAAGCGGAAAATTAGTGAAAAACTTTTCAGATCCCGTCATGCAGCTTCTGGAATGAATGATATGCTCAAAATTGGGGAAAAGCATTTCAGATCCAGTGATGCAGATTCTGGGACTGATGAAATGCAGAAACTAGGTAAGAAACTTTTCAAATCCAGTCAAGCAACTTTTGGCATGAATGAGATGCCTGAAAGAATTTTCAGATCCCGTCATGCAGCTTCCGGGATGAATAAAGTGAATCCTGATACAGTACTTCAGTCAAACGTTGTCTTGGCTGACAAGCATAATCCACACAAAAAATCTGATCTAACTTTTAAAACGATTCCTGCAGCTTCAGGCATAAGTGAAACGTCTTCCGATGCACTTTTTCGTTCTCTTGCAGTTTTGCAAGGCATGCAAAATGAACAAGCAACAAATAAGCAACAGCCTCATAGCATTTCTTTAGTTCATGGAAAATATCCAATAAAGCCTGATGCATTATTCCGATCGTCCCTAGTTTTAAAGAACATACGTGACAAGCAAAACACAAACAGAGAGGATTTTGAAGCAAAAACTGACACGTCGGAAATAAACTCAACTAACCCTAAAATAATGATTACTAATCAAAAGAATGTTACTTTATTTGAAAACACGAACGATTCGAGTAAAAAAACTGATGATCCATCAGTGATGCCTAATAATGAATCCATTATTCTACAGAATAAGAATACCAGTCCAAACATAAACTTTAGAAGTAAGCATCGGGATTTTTTCAAAAATTTGGTTAATGTTTTCAGGAATTATTTTTTACCCACAACTTTTCGAGTAATTAACGAAATATCCGAAAGTAAAGCTCCCGAGGAATCGACAACTGAGATTGAAATACCAAAAGAGGACCCAGAAGTGCAATTTGAAAAAATACCACTCATTTTGAATATATCGTCGGTATCTAATGAAAAATTTAAAAATATGAATAAAGACAAATTAACGCAGAAAGAAATTGTGACAGATCCCAGCCATAAAGAAACCTTAAAAACACAGGAAAGTGACATAATTGAATCAGACGTGAAATATGAAGTTCGCATACCGTTAGTGCCAAGAATTGAAATAACTAGTTATGAAATCGTTCCAAACAAAGTGAAATCCAATACTCAACTTATAAATCTGGAAATCAAACCGAAAAGTGGAGAGACTAATGATTTGGTGGTTGGAATAGAACAGGATTTAAATAATAAAACAGCAATTAATGAGATTTTTCCTTTCCTTGAATCGCCAAATCCTGGTATTTTACAAAATTCAATTAACATGCAGAAAAGAAATTTTACAGAAATAACACCAGTTTTTAACGAACTGCCCGAATCTGAAATTAATCATCAAACGGAAATAACTGAGGCAAGCTCAATATTTAGAGGAAAAGATAGT